CTGCCTAGCCTCCAACTTGAAAGATGCTTGGGGTTTGAATGTTATTTCATTTGAAATATAAGAATAAACACCTTAATAAAAATATAATAAAAAGACTTTCACCGTGATCAAATTAACTTCTGCAACTTTATTTTTCACAATTTCATTTTAGCTTATGTGTTCTCTCTGTGTTCGTGCAGTAGTGGGTGGAGCCTCAGAAAATTTCCGATCAAAAATTTATTAAACACTACTAAAAAAATTTATGAAATTTGAGGGATTTCTGCCTTTCCACTGAAAGTCTATTTCCCCCAAAACTATTTGAAAAAACACACAAAAAATCCATAATCATTTTGTTTAATGAAGTTCTTCTGACGAGATATGATCTTTTATATAATAAACAGCTTTCATTTTTTTTAAACATGCTGACATTGTTTATTAAACATAAATTTGTGAAGCTTAAAGCATTGTGTGAATAAAAATAGACTTTCAATGTAGTGGAAGTAATATCACAGATTTCATTATATGTCTGTTCATTTATTTTCTGACTATGTAAGATAAGTCCTATGAGTCTGGGTGAGTAAATGAGCGCAGTATAAACATTTACAATAAAAGTGAACCCATGTATTCTCCTCTAAATCACTGTTATCATACATTTTTAACTACCATCTTGTGAAATTGCTGGCATGCTGGTGTCCAAATCAAACTTCATAACTTGGCAACACCAAGTAATGGATGGTAAACTCCAAGCTTCATTCCAATAACCCACCAGCTTTAAAAAAAAAAAAAAACAGTACTAACCAGAAAATTATGACTTGTAAATTCATACCGGCCTTAAGCCATTGTTGTTTAAAAATGACTAATGAAATCTAAATTGCTTGAAGTATTGACTCCATCTCACGATGCACAAAGCAATTTTTAAACTGCCAATCATGTCTTTTGATTCATGTACTGTATCAGGCACGGCTTGTTCGGTTTGAGTATTCCACACATTTTCAAACCTGACACAATCACTGTCATCCATATGGAGCACTGAACATCTGATCTGAAGATCAATACAATGTCTAGAATCTGTTTACTTCTATCCTGGGTCTCATCTCTAATGGATTATATATGACATATAGATGGCTCTCTCCTCTGCCTCATGTTTGCAGATCTCCTGTTGTGTCCCTGGCCGTTTATTTGACCACATGCCATGGACTGTTATGGAGTGGCAATAAAAAAAACTAGATCTTAGCTTGTGAGGGTAGCATAACCGTCATTGGCCATTTTAGATGGCCATGTATTGTGGTCGACCTTTAAACCGCAATCAAAGCTATAATTTTAGGAACACACAGTGCAAATTTTGATGTACTAGAAATACCAAAAGAACATCAAACCTTTGCAGTCTGTGAGATTATGAAGGGTTTTTGGTTGAGATTATGAAGGGCCTCTCAGGGTTTTATAAATAGAAATTTTAAAGGAATGGCATTTCTTTGAAGGATATTTTATCATTACAATTTTCTTTAAATCTTATTTTTTTCCTTGAGTCCCTGTAGAAATACATCATCCATCTTTTTTCAAAAATATATATTTTTCATTTTTTAAATGATTTTAACACAAAGTTGCCGCCTTCTGATGTTGTGGAAGTCAACAGTGCAAAATTGCAGCAGCTTCCTTGACTATCACTGACATTGACCACCAATGAGTGAGAAAGACGAGCATGTTGTTTGTCAAGCATCAACTTATCATTACTTTAAATTAAATAATGCTTAGTGAGGTTGCTTACTTTTTAATACAAAGAAAATGAAAAAAGTGCCCTGTAGAATGTACGCTGATGTCTATTGAAGACGTCAATAATAATCTCTAACACACATAATCTTAATGTGTGTTATTCACAACATCTATTCTCAACTCTGTTCCTCTTCTTGTTAAATAACCATTTACTTTTATGTGGTTTAAGAGAAGTTAATGAATTGGCATGTAATAAATCTAGTTCCTCTAAACTCTTCTGCACTAAATGGGGCTGCGGTGGATCATAAATTCTGGAAATATAATAGTGATGCATTTCAAATAACTCACAAAAGGGGGGTCAAATGAAGTATTTACAACTTACATGTGAATGAAGTTAATTTTAATATGGCTAAACAAGTTCCACTCCAACCCAAAAGCACACTTTTGGGACTTATTCTCACTCAAGCACTGTTGTGGGGTGATATGCATGCTCTCATACCTACGCCGGTCATGCACAAACTTTTCCGGGAGAAGCGCCCATGAAATTATTTTTACTCTCTGTCATGTTAAAGAGAGCCAAATTTTAAAAAGTAGTAAACAAATACTCTGTGTTTCATCCAAATCCTATTTTGAAACTTTACCTATACTTGAGTCTAACTCTGTAATATAATAAATAACTCTGTATACATTAATCAGCACTGGACCATCCATTTTTTCTTACTATTCCCAAAATGTTTTGTTTACTCTGTAAGTACCCAGTTAATAGGTATGATAATTTAGCATAATAGTCAAGTCATTAAAAGCTATAAGTCTTCAACTTTAACTGGGAGTTACTTTAAAATTGAAAACTGACTTTTAACCTTTGTTAAAGAAAAGTTGCAATATAACTTTCATAAAAAATGTTAATGTTAGACTCTATGTTTAATAAACAAACTATTTGAGTTATTATGAGTGTGATCTTTCTAAAAATGTTTCTTTGTTTTCTGTGTCAAAGGATTTTTCACAGACATTAAAATGAGCTTTTTATGCTCCATGGCAAACATAAAAATGCTATTTTCCTGTCAGCACAAGCGTTCGGTTGCTTTGGCTCCTGGCGGCCTCCTATCCATCGTGCCACGCCACAGCTGAATGAACCGGATGGTAAATGTAGTAGAAAATGTAATCACAGTTGTGCTGTGTAATTTATTCAAGTCGATTGCAGCTGAAGCCGCTGTTAGCAGAGAGGCCAGCGTGTAGCAGACATGTGGCTACACATTGAAATCTTCGAGGCAGAAGGCATTTGCTGCAAATATGCAATCTTTAAATTACGCCACACTGGTGGGAAGATCGAATGCGCCTTGTGCCCTGAGAAATATAGTATGTGTTTGTTGTTGTCGCCACAGGGATGCATTCTCTGCTTTTCAATGCTACAGTACGTGCTCATGCTATAAGCTGATGCCTATATAGACATTGTGCAGGCAAAAGGGTTTTTGTTCATGTCCATACAGTTTTCATACCTAGGTAAAAGCATTGATGCTTGGATCATACATGTATTTTATGAAATTTTTAGTTTCTGTTCAAACTGTAAGAAAAATGAAAAAAAAAAAAAACCTAATGTCATCCACTATTGATTTTCTTGTTCTTGACTTGTGCAGTAAAGAGAGTATGACTCAATCTGCTAATAGGCTGAACGGCTGTCAGACTTATTGACTATAACACTCTTCATGACCCTGACATACACTGTGTTTAGTTCTTGACAGATGATTGTTTGTACTAGCAGGCATCTTCACATGCATTTTCTATGACAGTTATCTATTTCATCAACACTTTACCTTTCCTATCTATCTATCTATCTATCTATCTATCTATCTATCTATCTATCTATCTATCTATCTATCTATCTATCTATCTATCTATCTATCTATCTATCTATCTATCTATCTATCTATCTATCTATCTATCTATCTATCTGTCTATCTGTCTGTCTGTCTGTCTGTCTGTCTGTCTGTCTGTCTGTCTGTCTGTCTGTCTGTCTGTCTGTCTGTCTGTCTGTCTGTCTCTCTCTCTCTCTCTCTGTCTGTCTGTCTGTCTTTCTGTCTGCCTGGCTGCCTGCCTGTACGTCTATCATCCATCCATCCATCCATCCATCCATCCATCCATCCATCCATCCATCCATCCATCCATCCATCCATCCATCCATCCATCCATCCATCCATTCATCCATTCATCCTTACATTCCTTACATCCATCTATCCATCTGTCCATCCATCCATCCATCCATCCATCCATCCATCCATCCATCCATCCATCATCCAACTATCCATCCATCCATTCATCCTTACATTCCTTACATCCATCTATCCATCTGTCCATCCATCCGTCCATCCACCCATCCATCCATCCATCCATCCATCCATCCATCCATTCATCCTTACATTCCTTACATCCATCTATCCATCTGTCCATCCATCCATCCATCCATCCATCCATCCATCCATCCATCCATCCTTACATTCCTTACATCCATCTATCCATCTGTCCATCCATCCGTCCATCCACCCATCCATCCATCCATCCATCCATCCATCCATCCATTCATCCATCCTTACATTCCTTACATCCATCCATTCATCCATCCATCCATCCATCCATCCATCCATCCATCCATCCATCCATCCATCCATCCATCCATCATCCAACTATCCATCCATCCATTCATCCTTACATTCCTTACATCCATCTATCCATCTGTCCATCCATCCGTCCATCCACCCATCCATCCATCCATCCATCCATCCATCCATCCATCCATCCATCCATCCTTACATTCCTTACATCCATCTATCCATCTGTCCATCCATCCGTCCACCCATCCATCCATCCATCCATCCATCCATCCATCCATCCATCCATCCATCCAACTATCCATCCATCCATTCATCCTTACATTCCTTACATCCATCTATCCATCTGTCCATCCATCCATCCCTCCGTCCGTCCATCCATCCATCCATCCATCCATCCATCCATCCATCCATCCATCCATCCATCCATCCATCCAATTTAATTTAACTATTTTTCTATCATTTTATCTACAATCGTCTACAATGCAGTCTATCATTCAGCTGGTCAATCTATAGCTCTACCGTTATATTGTTTGATCATTCTATTCCTTTCTATATCATTATATATGTCTTTTTATTGTTCTATCCATCTATCTATTCTTTCATTGTTCTTATGTTCTATAATGCTATCTGTTGACAATAACATTCTGCTATTATTTGAGTTCTAAGTTCCTGTGCCTAATGGAATTATATATTTTTCCTCCACAGATTCCAGTACTCATAAATCTCAGTCAAGATGCCGATGTCAACTTGCCAATCAAACCTCTCATATTTGCATTGGCTATGGGAGCATGCCTTGGAGGTCAGTCACATATTTTCTGTATTATAAACGTGTGTAAACATACAAACAAACCTGCCATTATCCAAATCTTGGCTTAAGTGGTTTGATGAACTGGATACTTTAGTACCATTGTAAACTTTCATGCAAATCACAACAAGCCACCACCTAACACTGTTTTATGCTAGTAACTCAGACCTTTGAATTATAAAACAGGTCTCTTTTAATAACATCATGTCACCATTAATAATCTGTAGTTTTTTTCAATGCCACTCACTTCTTCCTCACCCACACTGAAAGCATCACTGAGCACAAATAGATCACGCTACATTTAGGAATGTAGTGTGCTTACAAGGCCATCTGAAAATGCCTCATTGCTTGTTTGGCTCTGAGGACACGGTGAGAAAGATGTGGCAGTGCTGCTGCCTAATCACTGGAGAAATGTTGGCTCTAGTATTGATCCATTGAATGCTAAGGCAGGCGTCTGGTTTTGTTATCATGCTGACATCTTTTAGGACAAAACTTTTTGTATCAACACTATACAAGTTTTATTCATATTGTTTAAATAGAAAAATAGTGTACACAGTGTACTTATTGTGTTCATATAGGGTGGGGGAACTATGATGTCACCTTGTAGGCTAATCCGCTGCTAGCATAAAACTGGTTCCCTCCTGAAAATCCCTATAAGATTTTCCCATAGGCCTTTCGAAGATTGCGAATAATAAGCTCTGTGTTTAAACACTGTTTATTACACTTATACGTTTTGTCCAGCCAGAAAATCCTCACACGAGAATACAACTTTTAGCACTTTTGGACCTTAAATGCAAATGCAAAAACTAAAAAGCTAACGTTAGGCAATAAACAGGCACGCATCTGTGACGTCAGTGCAACCCCATTTTTAGAAATGTGCTCCATGACAGAGATGTAATCTCTTTGTTTATTATATTATAATACCTGCTATATATTATAAACAAGCAAATATGCAAAAACATACAGACCTACATGCCTTTTGGGATGAAAATTCATTCATTTTCTTGTCGGCTTAGTCCCCTTATTAATCTGGGGTCACCACAGCGGAATAAACCAATAACTTATTCAGCATGTTTAACGCAGTGGATGCCCTTCTAGCCGCAACCCATCTCTGGGAAACATCCACAAACACTCATTCACACACACTCATACACTAGGGGCAATTTAGCCTACCCAATTCACCTGTAGCGCATGTCTTTGGACTGTGGGGGAAACCGGAGCACCTGGAGGAAACCCACGCGAACGCAGGGAGAACATGCAAACTCCACACAGAAACGCCAACTGTGCCGAGGATCGACCCAGCGACCTTCTTGCTGTGAGGCAACAGCACTACCTACTGTGCCTCTGCTTCGCCCTGGATCATTTTTATGTGGGAAATACATTATGTTTTGCTTGATGGTTGTTGTAAAAGTTTTAAAACTGTATGTATATATGTGCCTACATATCACAGGACATATTTAAATATGTGTATCGCTCGTGTGCACACAGCTTGCTTACCTTAGTAACAGAAGACAGAAATTAGGCGTGAGGAACAAGTCTATCAAATGCCTGCTAGTTCATCACGGATAGAAAACAACATTCAATAATATTTTTATGTCACGAAGTACAGCAAAATGCAGTACAGACACAAATACAAATACAGACACATCTGCTATACATTTTATGGAGAAGTGTATACCACAGTTACGACAGAGTTAAATGTGTTCAGATGAAGAAAAAACATACGAAAAATCTATTGATCACATTGAAAATAGTATTCACACGTTTGCATTACTGAGAGCAGGAAAGAGAGAGGCTGCACAGGTAAGCAATATCTTCATAATATCGTTTAATTAGAATAAATGATCAACAAATTAATGTCTTGACTGTCTTTACATGTGAAGGCATTATCTACACACAATATGAATTCCCAATTTGAAAAAATACTACAAACTATAAAATACTATTCATGAAAATACCTAAATAACAGACAAATCCAAATGCCCAACACACGAGCTGCGCTCCAGACCAGATCTGCTTGATGACGTATAATGTCTCCGACAACACCTGTAGTCCCATTTAGCAACTTGATAGCGATCATCTTTTTAAAGAAGCATGACCGATTTTAAAAATCAAGATTGTTATGTAACTGATGTGTTTTATATCGTAGAATAAAACGTGAAAGTGTCTTGAGTTTGTGTTTGCCACATACCTTATTTAAGGGATTTTACTAAGTGGGTTTTCCAAACTAATTTCGAGAGGAACACGTGATATGATTGACTGCAGCTGGTCACCCAACCACATTCATTAGTTAGCCAATCAGATCTATCTTTACTCAATATAAGTAGCCTAGCTAGATTTACTCCCTTATCTTCGTTTTCCGAAGAAACCCCCCATCCACCCCTTTCTCCTCCTTTACAAAAGGGGAGCTCAAGAGAACCACCTGATCTCGTACTCCCCTCTCATGCTCTATGGACCTGGCGAGAGCCCTGGGCTCAACTATCTCCGAGCTCAGGGTTCTCTCCCGGGACAGCATGCCAAACCTGCTAACAGTTGTCAAGCAATACCTAAGTGTGAACTCCAAAATTCCATTAAAAAACCCATTGACTTTGGGATGAGGGAACTGGAACTGCTAAAATGCTAACTCGTTTTTGCATACAAATTGATAGTTCCTCCACTCTATTGTGCTGCTGAAGACTTATGGGGCTATTACTTAAGTTGGGGTAGGTTTGGTGGTATGGTTAGGATTAAAGGTGGGTTAAGGTGTAAGAAATGGGTCAATAAAAAATTACCGACATATTAGATACTAATTATAGAAATTTATTACAAATGTAATTACACACACAATTAAATATAAATATATACATACAATGTATGTACATATAACTACTTAATAAATGCCTTTTACCAAATTATTAATTTAAATAAATGTGCTTAGTAATTAATGTGGCTTAAAATAAGTCGAACTGAAAAATGTATCCTTTTTTTAATGTTTAAGTCTTTTAATGTATATTTGATTAAATGAGCAGAAGATTCTTTTAAATAATAAATTTAACTGAGTGTATGAATGCATATTACATAAATTTATAATACATGCATATTGCATACATTCATATTACATACACAGACATTACATTCACACACACAAACACGCATATTCTTTACACACATATAATGCAGATTTTGCCTATCTATCTATCTATCTATCTATCTATCTATCTATCTATCTATCTATCTATCTATCTATCTATCTATCTATCTATCTATCTATCTATCTATCTATCTATCTATCTATCTATCTATCTATCTATCTATCTATCTATCTATCTATCTATCTATCTATCTATCTATCTATCTATCTATCTTTACATCCATCCATCCTTACATCCATCCATCCATCCATCCATCCATCCTTACATTCCTTACATCCATCTATCCATCTGTCCATCCATCCATCCATCCATCCATCCATCCATCCATCCATCCATCCATCCATCCATCCATCCATCCATCCATCCATCCATCCATCCATCCATCCATCCATTAAACCTTTAATATACCTATTGTTCTATCATTCTCCCTCTTTATCATTCCATCGTTTCCTTTGATACCCCAGCACCCATTGATTTTAGTTTATACTTATATAGTATATTGCTTATATTATATACTTACATTACCAAAATCTTTATAAGAGATAAGATACTTTTTCACTCCCTAAATTAGTTTTTTAAAGATTTAAGATTTGCTATTGAAAGCCATTAAAGACATGACAGACCTCCTTAAAATTACATCAAAATAAAGCATTACACATATACAAATAATAGTTAAACATTGATTAGTACATTTAATTAAACTCCATTACTCTGCATATTAAAATCTAAGACAAAATATAGCAACAGTAATGAAGGAATATCAAATGGCAACAATCAAAAACAGATATTTCCCACATACTAAAGACATATGACAGTTTTACAAGTAGGCTGAGATTAAATGTATGCGAATGTGATGAAGCCACTTGGATCAGAGGTATGAAAGAAAATTGAAGAACACATCTAGATGCTCCAGAGTAAATTTTTCTAGACATGTTAGTGATGAAGTGATGACCTCTGTCCTTCATCACAAAGCTATCATGCCTCTGATTTGAGTGGGGACAGAAATCTCTCTCTGTGCCATGCATTACCAAAGCAGGTACTACAAAAGAGAACGCTTGCCAAATCACCTCTGCAGTTTAGTCATTTCATCACCAATACTCTTAACAGAAGTGATTGCACAGTGGAGAACTTTCAATTGCAATCAGCATAACAAAATCTGCTGTGCACATTGCACCGAATCTAATACTAATTTTCATTTATAAAGACCTGTGTTTGTGCAGTGCTATATTTGTAGAGGACATGTAGTGCTATTTAAACATTTACACATTCCCAGGTCTCTTTCTCTCTGTCTCTCTTTCTCTTTTTCTCTTTCTCTCTTAAGGCAGACTTGAGTATACATGGAAGAATTCACTGGGCAAACTTTTTTCTTTTATTAAATATAAATGAATGTCTGTGTTTATTCAGGCTATTGGAGTTATCTAAGTTAGCCATTCATTTTTTTCTTTTTCTATTCTCAAAGGAAATGGTACACTGATTGGAGCATCTGCAAACGTGGTGTGTGCTGGGATTGCTGAACAGCACGGCTATGGATTTTCCTTCATGGAGTTCTTCAGGTATTTATATTGGGAACAATTATGTTCTTCAACACCTTTTATTGCAGCATTAAATGCTCTTTTTAGACCAAATGTATCTAAACCCCATTCACGTTTGTGGCTGCTTGAATTTGACAAAAACACACCATTTTACAGTTTTCTCAGTCACTTTGGTGCATTTCTCACAACACTAGTGCATGTCTGCACAACAGTTAATGCATTTCTCAAAACAATTAGTACAAACTGCAAAACCTAGATGATAACCTGCAAAAGCGCGTCACATGCTCAAAATGGATAGTTCATTCCTTAAAAGCAAGTATTCATGTCAATCAAAGTGTCAGTATCATCAAAATGAAAAGTCCTGATACCATTGTTTATGAACAAGATAGTCAAATGGCTTTGTCCTGTTTTCATTATGACAGTTTACTCTGTACATTTTTTCAATGCAAAAAAGTCAGATTTTGGTGACACTTCCTGAAAATGCTCAAGACAGCACTATATACTATTTGCACAGCCATTTGAAAACCACAATAAAGTTAGACATCACCGCATTTAGTGAGGAATCTGAGTACAAGACACTGAATGTTTCACATCTTTACTGCATATGCTCGTTGCAATTCTAATTTATTCACAGCATTGTGCAAAAGAATAAATACACCCTTTTTTAATCATCCAAGTGGATGCTGCACACTGGTGGTGGTGTGGAGAGACCCCCCTCATGATTGTGAAGCGCTTTGGGTGTATGGCCATACACAATAAATGCGCTAAATAAATAAACACATTACATTACATTACATTACACATTACATTACAACAAACATAAACTCCCTTCGGGCAGAGCTGTGCACAACTGTCAACAATATTGCAGAACATAATGGAATTGAACCTATAATATACACAGGTCTGTAAATCATTCATCAAATTGTTAAATTTTTAAGAATTTTTTTAGGAAAATAAAGATTGAAATTTTTTTGAATAAAATTTTCTTGACAGATTGTGACAACTAATTCAACATTTTTGTATGTAATGACTCAAGTAATGAAATGAGGACTATTAGTTTTATATGGAATGACTATTCAGCATCCACAAGTCTAGTTAATTTTGACTGACATGACATGGGCAAATGATAATGTTATAAACAGCAGAGAGTTGTATGAAAGCAATTGATGCGTGTCCAAAAGCATTCGCAATTTGTTGGAAAGAATGAGAAACTGCTACTTGGATGTGCACAAATGACTAATTGTTTAGAGAAATGCATGTTGTGCAAATGTAAATAGTGTTGTGAGAAATGCACCAAAGTGACTGAGAAAAACTGTAATTCATTTATAATTGACAGTTTTTTTTGTTTTTAATAGTCTATGTCACATGAAGTCAGATGTGAAAGTAATTTACAATTTTTTTTGTTATAGGGAATATCATATAGTTAAAAGGATAAACATTAGAAATGTTGGAATATCTAGCCAATTCCATGCCTGTTTAATTACCACAAAAGAGGATTTTCTTCAATGTCAAAAGTATTTGTAATTTATTAGATACAAATGAACGATTTGATGACAGAGCTCTGGGTTACATTACACCATTGCAATACAAGAATTACATTCAGGATGTTAGCATCAAATCTATATTTTCCTGACTCCTGGACAGCCATTCAGCACTAAAAAGTCATTAGCTACTTGGAAAAGAAATATATAAAGAGAGGTGTCTTGGTAAATACTGTACATGCATTATAATATAAATAATGTATTTGTTGCTTTTTTTGATTATCCTAATAGAGGCATTTTTGTAAACTAATTTTTTTTACCAGCAGATTAAAAAAAGGAATCAAAACAAAACAAAAAAATATATAAAGATTTGTCAGAGTCAATCCTATGAAGTCAGATCAGTCTCAAAAATAATAAATGTACAAAATGAAATTCATACATGCACAACATAATTCACCAACAAAATTCAATTTGTAAATTTGTAAACCCAATCGTGAATTAACAAGTGAAAATCATAAATACTTTCATCAAATAAATTGGATTTGTGTATTTACAAATCGAGTTTTGAACTTACGAATTGAATTTGTGTGTTTATGAATCGTGTTTTGAATTCATAATTTGGATTTTTGTAATTTTGAATCGTGTTTTGAACTTCCGAATTGGATTTGTTTATTTTTTAATTGTGTTTTCAATTTGCAAATGGGATTTTTGTGTTTTCGAATCGTGATTTGAATTTATAAATTCTATTTTGTCAATGTGAATTGTGTTGTGGATCTATGAATTTTATTTTGAAAATGTATTATTTTTGAGACTGATCTGGCTCCATACAATCCTGCTTTAATGAGCTCAAGCATTTGAAGTGTCAGACAAGGAAACTTCAGCTGATTATTATTTAATTGTATAAGTATTTATTTATTTATTTATTTATTTGTTTTTCTTTTTTATGTGAAATGGGCAGTTCTGAACCAAACAAAAAGTAGCAACTTTAAAACACCAGTTTTAAAAGAATAAAAAATAATCAACAGCGAGGATTACAAGAGTTCGCTGGTACAATAATCAATCCTCTAGCTTTACGACCAGATGTTTATGGCCTTTCATGTACTCTCAATCTTCAGAGAAAGCTGCCAGTTTTTTCCAACCAGTTTTGTTGGCCAGTGATCGCTTAAGTGACACATTTAAGGGCTCTGTTTCAGGGCACACTCTGACACTGTGTTCATGAGCAGCTGCTGCAATGTGTTGCTTCCAGCCATGTTTTCCCTTCTCTTCACATTACACAACACAACATAAAGGGAAAGTTCACCCTAAAATAAAAACTAGCCAGCTGTTTTTCTTTAGTGGAGTAATAAAGATGATTTTAGTTGTGCTCATTAAGCAATTGCTGCCAATTTAAAACATATGCAGGCTAAACAATTACTTATTAACAACAACAATTAACGGGATAGTTCACCAGATTTATACTGAACATTTTATAGACCAGAACACAACTTATTACCCAGGAATCAGTCATGTTTACATCGCTGACTCCTACTGTCTCATCCATGTTAGCCATCCTTTTAAGTTTTATGAACTACTGTAAAGTGCATGATCATTGTTTGAAAAAACCCAAAGAACAAAAAAAAAGGATTAAGTCAAAAAGGCGTTCAAACTGTGCAAGAAATAAGTCAAGAAATTATAAAGAAAAAAAGAGACAAGAAATTATATAGGTTTCACCTAACACATTAAAAACAAAAGTAACAAGGTTTAAAAATGTAAGGCAGGCTCGTAGCCAGGGGGGAGTTCCGAAACAAAGGTCCCAAATTTGTCCCATACAACCCATTGATAAAGGCTTTAAGACCAAGCGGAATCCTGGTTTGACTTCAGCTAATCAGTTTTGGCCAATGCTAACAATTAAATTTCATGAATCAAACATCCAGCTGTGCAAGAAAACACATTCTGACATAAGCAAAGTCATCTTTCGCTACTGTACTGTTTTTTAATAGAGAAAACATTTTACAATTAACCTTTATTTTAAACATTGGACCTTATTCTTTAAAGAAAACATTTAATAACAAAGTGAAGCACTTTTAAATGAGAGGCTAGAAACATTGTGAAGCTCTAAATTATTATTATATTATTATGAATAATATTTTTTAATATTCAAATGGCCAAATTCTGTCTGAGGAAAGTATTGAAGATACTGGCCAGTTTGTTATTTGCCTAATATATTACAATAGGCAAGAGCAGGGGTGCGCAAACTTTTTCAAATGAAGGGCCAAAAATCTAATATCATTGATAGCCATGGGCCAAAGATAAATTAAAGTCGCCATGGGTAATTTCTTAATTTATTTCCTAATATTTAAACAAAAATAGAAAACATTAATTTGAATCGAATTAACTAATGCAATATTTTTTTTATTATAATTAAAATAAAACATAAATAATCACATTTATACAGTAACACATTGGAGTTCAGTGCTGAATACACTAGTCAAGCAGAACCCCAAAGTCCGTTGGGTGACAGTATGAACATTTTAAACTTGATCTGAATAATTGACACTATTTAAATTGGAACATTTAATTACAGTTAGCCTTTTTTGTATCTTAACAATAAAACAAACAAATAAAATGTCACATTAAATAAGAAATGACAGTCTCAAATCGATCCCCATCATTCTCCCTCTTCTCAGTAGTCTTGTAGTTTGGGCATCTCTGGGCTATAATTTTTTATTTAAAAATAAAAATAAAAATAAAATAAAAATAAGTTTTTTTTCCCTAATAAAATATGATGTAATAAATTTGTATTTTAAAATGAAATATTTGTCATATTTCTTTATTCTAAATTTTTAGGAAATATTTTTGACACATCAAAAAGTGTGGTTATGATCCGACATGCTAATTCAGCTAAAACATAGTGCTTATAAGGTCGCTAAAATGCAGTGTTTAAATCTCATAATCAAATTGAAAAAGAGGCGTATAACTGCCTTTTTGAGCCCCTTTTACCTGGGCTGGATATGGGCCCAAGAAGTAGAAAGTACAGATATTTGTATACAAATGCTATGAGTAAAAGTAAAAAGTAGTCAGAAAAAACATTATTTGTAATTCATTACTTCCCATCTGTGTGTAGAGTATATGTGGATAGAGAGAAAAACTATAGCTCTCCATTAAAATGTGTGTATTAGTAACAGTAGTTCTACAGTATCATTGTTGACTTGACAACTACAGTTAGATAGAAGGACAATAGATGAACTTTCTTCTTTATGTGTGTGAGCCAAGTGTTCTGAACACTGTTATTTGCATGTTCCATTTAAAATCAGTGAACATGGAGCATGTTCATCATGTTCCAAAAATATCCCCAAGTATGGCTCTCTTTTAAAGAACTGACAGATCCAGTTTTAGAGAGACTCTTTAGACAGCTTGATTTCAAGCACTCTCTAGCGTATCAACAAATACATCTGAATGTGGAAAAGGAGCTGCACGCTGATTACCTCTCAGTGAGTGGCTTGCGGAGATATTCACCGTCTCTTTTGATTCGGTTCTCCCTGCTTGTTACCACCTGCTCGA